TTTGATGTTAACTTACTTTTATCTTAACCTTTTGCAAATTAACACAATCTGCCATACAAATATGTGATAAATCATGTATAAAAACATCCGAAAACATAGAAAATGTACTTTTAAGTAGCTTTTGAGCCGCTGAAATGTGAAGTGAAAATGTCAAAAACTAAAATGGAAATGCCAAAAACCAAAACGAAAAGGTCAAAAACTAAAATAAAAATGTCAAAAACACAAAACGAAAATGTCCAAAACTAAAATGAATACACAGAAAACTATTTCCACCGCGGTGTAAATATTATCACCGCGGTGTAAATAGTTTTCACCTCGGTGTAAATATTATCATCGCGGTGTAAATATTATCACCGCGGTGTAAATATTATCACCGCGGTGGAAATAGTTTTCACCTCGGTGGAAATATTATCACCGCGGTGGAAATAGTTTTCTGTATTTCCATTTTAGTTTTTGACATTTTCGTTTTGTGTTTTTGACATTTTCATTTTAGTTTTTGACATTTTCGTTTCGTTTTTCAGCGATTCAATATCTTCTTTACACATGATTTATCACATATTTGTAAGACAAATCGTGTTAATTTGCAAAAGGTTACGATAAATGTAAGTGAAATATCAAAATATGGAAAAACAGACTCCATGTCCCTTATGGGCCACCGTACTTAACTCTAAGGAAAAAAATATAATAAGAAAATGATAACAACTAAACTCATCAATTTGTAGCCAAACCTTACTGATCTATGTCAGCCTGTTTAATGAGTGAGTGAGTGAGTATGGTTTTACGCCGCTTTTAGCAATATTCCAGCAATATCACGGTGGGGGACACCAGAAATGGTCTTCACACATTGTACCCATGTCGGGATTCGAACCCGGGTCTTCGGCGTGACGAGCGAACGCTTTAACCACTAGGCTACCCGACCGCCCCCCTGTTTAATGAACACCTTTCTGAACTATTACATTGATAAGAATGTACCATACATTTACTATACACGTCCGCATCGCATTTCTGCAACATAATGCGTAAACGGCAATGCCTTGGCTTACTTTTATTCCGGTTTCAACCCTATCGAACATGTATGGTTTGTTTTGTTTGTTGTTTTAACGTCGCACTAAGTACTATTCCAGGTAAATGGCACGCAATCAAACAAGTCACCGAACCTGACCACCCAATCCATTTGGTCACCTCTTACGTTCAGAATACTTCCCAAGGACCTACTGTAACCAGGAATACGCATGTTGAATACTATAAGAAACTCACCCCGTTTACAAGATGTGCAAAGTGTCTTTTGAGGCCTTGTTTTGTCTCCTGGTGTTTTAAGGCTTCGGACAGCTGGGTTGCTCTGGAATACCATCTGTGAAACACAAGGTGAGGTGAGGTGAAATGGAGTTTAACGTCGCGTCCGAGATTATTGCACTTATACATGTATAGCGACGTGCATGCACGATTTATAGTGCTAGCACACTGAGATACCATGCCGTAGTTTAACATGAATACCCCACTCAGACACATTTTACTGACTCCGAGTCGACCAGTCCTTGTTTTAGCCCCTTAATGTCGAGCACCAGACAGGGTAACAACAAGTACCATTTTAACGTCTTTTGGTATGACGCGGCCGGGGATCGAACCCCGGACCTTCGGCTCTCCGGGCGGACGCTCTACCACAAGACCACGGAGGCGGTCGTGAAACACAAGGGAAGCCACTACCAGAAAAAGCTTTAGCAAGATAAAAACGCCTATGGTTCATGATGCAAATATTTAACTGCAGTAATTCCTTAAAATGTTATTTGTTGTGAAAGAGATATAAATATGAACAACCCCAATATCATCATTTACTATTGCTAGATAACGACACACTGAGATATGATTTGATTCAGTCTGTGTTGTGAGGTTAGGTTAGACAAGGTTACAGACAACTGAATGCAGCTCACTTTTGAAATTGTACGCATTGATAAGGATGAAAATATGCACCTTTCATAAACAGAGAACCCTATCACTGTAATGACGTCCACGTAGATTGGCTCCTGAATCTGGCGCTTCTTCCTCAAGGATTCTGATGCCATCATCTCACTGTCACTTCCTGACTGACCCTTCTCGCCATCATCTGAATAAAATACACACATGTCCATGTGACATTTACTCATGTTATTTGTAACCTCTACGTTAACCATTTCATATTTCTGATTCTTGATAATGTGCAAAACAACTTACCATCGGTTATCAGGCCAAAATATTACTGATTGTTTCGAACCAATCAATTTACTTGTACAAGTTCTCATCTGATCACACAACATCACAATACACGAAGGAACTGCGTGACATTTATTCATGTCATTGGTGATAGGTGTTAACATGTATGTTACCCTCTATATTGACCATTTCTCATGTCTCATTTCTGTTTCTTGATAAAAAACACTTACCATCTGTTATCATGACAAAACATTCTTATATTGTTACGATCCATCTTGCATTTGATATACTTCATGTACAACACAGTTCATGTTGATGAAATTCATTTTAATTAAAGAACTTATTTGGTCAAATTATGGCAAAATGATTGTTTCTTCCAGCACACATATTTCATTTTATTAGCATAGTTATATAAACTGCGTTAAGCATTTTGATTCACATTTATTCAGATCCAGCTATTTAAGTTCAAAGTAGTAATTAACAATGGAATAGTAAGAATTAAAAGTTCATACGTATTTCTTTCAATAAATGGATCGATCCCAGAATGTTTAAATATTTCGGTGAAAAAAAAATCAATATAAAAAGAACGTATTCCGGAAATATTTTAGTATTCTGACTGAAGTAAAACTAAGCAAGATATTGCAGATACATTGTGCACCGACATAAAAAAACCTTTACAAATTGAACCCGTGTTTGACATGTTATTTCATACAGAGCTGTGTTGTATGACGAAGGGCCTTTTTGGTCCATTCGATATGCATAATTCAATAAATTAACAAATTGTGTTTAAATTGTCATGTATATTTTCAGATCAGTTCGTGTGAAAGAGAACTAGGCGGAATATCATAGAGATTTCTGCAGGTTTCCTCAACTGGTCAGGCCCCATATTCAAATGCTCTATATGTAAATATGATTCTCCGCTGTGATTTCCTTTTTATTGTAATTTTAACTATTTTTCTGTAAAGTGTAACTGCAATTATGTTTTAGTTTGCCATGTACATTTCAGTTGTTATATATTCTATTTCTTTTACCTCTCGGTCGGACAGCTCTGAGGACCTTATGTTCTACTGCTGCCTCTGACGTCAAATGTCAAGTTTCTTGTATCTTGTATGCTTATAGGGGGCACGGGTGGCCCAGTCGTCTAAGGCGCCGCGATTCGCTGTGCAGAGTTGCGTCCCTTGGGCACGCCAGAAACCTATGATTGTTGGTTTGAACCCCCGTTCGCCCCGATTATGTTTCTAGGTTCGTCCGCATCATACCCGTGCTCGTGGGTTTCACCGAAGTGGTAAACCTCAGAGACCTGCATCACTTCGGGCTTTCCTCCAAAATTAAGCTGACACGTCGTGATATAACTGGAATACTGTTAAAATCGGCGTTAAACCCAACTCACTCACTCACTCAATGTATGTTTATAACGTATCACAATATTTTTGATGATTTCAGGAAGGATTCTCCAATAGTTAAAGTCATTGACTCCAGTTTATTGTCTTAGGAGAAGAAGGACAAGACAGTACAAACTTATGAGGAAGCAGTTAAAATCACAGATACACTCTCGGAAACCCGTCCCTCCTTCATTCTCTCTACTGGTCATGTCCTAAGTACATCACTATGAAGTGTTGGTGTCAGCGTCCAGTAATGTGACTGTCATAAGGGACAGAACATGTAATATTTGAGAGCGTAGGGTATTTTGCGTGACAGAATATTTTCAGTCAGAGCATCAAAACATATAATATTCTGAAAGAAGGGATGAAAAATAAGCAAATGATTTATTTGTTTCTGTTAAACCATAGGACAAGTTTTGTTTAGTACAAGCGTGACACCTTACCATCATTATCTATCCGTGCAATGTGTGCTGGTGAAAATGTAAGGGTGTATCTGATATCACTGGAAGCTGATTCTGTTCCCGTCGGCTTTAACTCATACAAACGTGGTCCAGAGAGCAAGAGAAGGCCTTCCTGGTAAGTAAACAACAATTGCAATATGCATCTTGATGTTGATGTACATTTCAAAGACTCATAATACATGTGTTGAGACTATTTGAATGACACTACAAAACAGCTTTTCAGGTGAACTTTCAAAAGACACAACAATCGACTGACTTATCGTTTTTGATCCCGCAATAATTCTAATATTTGTATTGAGATGGTGTACGAGTTTGCAGCAAATGATAAGAAAGGTCCACTGAAAATCAGTGAAGACACCAGGTGTTCGCGGAAATGGTAAGCATGACCTAACTGTAGCACCCGCTATTCACACAATTTGCACAGAAAGTAAGTATTTATTACCTGAAGTCGCACAGACATTAATTAAAGCGACCAATCCGTTTCCATATTCACAATAAATCTCTGCTAAACGCAGAGTCGATTCTAACAATTCTGACTTTGTCATGAACATGTTTGTGAATCACTATCAAATAGTGAAGATACCAGGTGTTCGCGTAAAGGTGAGCATATCCTGCCCAAACGGTGGCACCCGTCACAAACACATGCAAAGGCAAATCAATTGTTCACCTGAAAAAGCACGGGAACATATGGCACAAGTCAAAATTGGGAATTGCATCGGACATAATATGTTTAGCCACTGATGCCCCAGATATAGAAATGCCCTTCACATGTCTACCTTAAAGCGTTTTGGAAGCTTTACTGAGGCCTTGAACAAATGTCATTTAATTTTTCCTTTTAACACGAACTTCATTACAGTCGTTTTGCTTTTGAATCTGAAATGATTATGGAGGCCTTATACAGACATTATCAATTGCTAGTCAACATTTTTATTTCAGCTTGTAAAGCGGCGACACTTACAAATAGATAATACGGTTGGTTCTCCTCTTTAATAACACAGGACACCTCAATGTTAGCAACGTGAGTCACATCCTGGTAAACGGCTGTTCCCTGAAAGAAACTTAAAAAGTATTACACAATGAAATGATATGCTTTATGAATAAGTGAATGTCAGCTTTCAATTGGGTAAACGTCTATCTAACTCTTATCCATAGCAAGATAATAAAGGTGCAAGCGTTTTATGTCATATATTGTCAGCGAGTGTGGTATTTGCAGTTATAGGCGTAACACTTGATGTGCAGTTATGTCTCTTGACAAAAGTGTTTCATGAACGATCCTAGGTTCTTGTGCACTCCCGCATACAATAGAAATGAAAATGTCTGCATTTGTCTACATGATAGAAGTAATGGGAGTCTCTGTCCTATTAGATACCCTCCCCTTGCCACAATCAGCGTACCCGTCCTCTTCTTTGTTCATATAAGAGGGCGATGGGGTAGCCTTGTGGTTAAAGCGTTCGCTCGTCGCGCCGAACACCCGGGTTCGATTCGCCAAATGGGTACAATGTGTGAAACCCATTTCTCGGGTCGCCCGCCGCGATATTGTCGGAATACTGCTAAGAAGGGCGTAAAATCATACTCACTCACTCACTCACTCCTTGCTTGCTTTGTTCATATTCCCGCTTCAATGCTTATCATAACTCTCTCCTCTCCCCCCCCCCAAAAAAAAATAAAAATAAAAATAAAAATAAAATAAAATAAATTATTTACAGATTCTTCGTGACGTTTTCTGCGATGAATGCTTTTAAGATGCATAAATACCTAACCACATAAAAAATATTAAAGTGCAAAATAATTGTGAATGAAATATGCAAATGATATTTTGACAATAAGTTAGCATCCCACCCAAAACATTATTAAAATATCTTCTGACTTGGTTAAATGCCACGTTCGCTCGTCACGCCGCTTTTAGCAATATTCCAGCAATATCACGGCGGGGGACACCAGAAATGGTCTTCACACATTGTACCCATGTCGGGATTCGAACCCGGGTCTTCGGCATGACAAGCGAACGCTTTAACCACAAGGCTACCCGACCGCCCCAATGAATTATGAAAGCAGTCTCACCTCCAGCTCCAACACTGTATCTCTGACGATGATTGGGTTCCCCTTCTCATCCTGTCTAGATACATATACTGGGGTTGTTTTCTTCACCGACGTGCTGGTCTCCAACTGAAGAGTGACGGAGTCATTGTGTGTCCTTACACGCACTGTGAACTCCCTGGGGAGAGTACAGTCTCTCAACCCTGGATTTGGTTTTACTATGTCAACGGAAGCTCCCATGCCTAGAAGGGAAGAATATCATTTATTACCTACGAGGGCAAACATATTGGGGATCATAAATGTCATATATGCCCTTGGGTCAAATTCTGTCACGAGACAACAGTGTATTGCTTCCGTCATCCGGACGCGTTGTTGACGTCATTCTAATCTGATCATGACTTTAGGTGGGAATGACGTCACAGTAGAAACGACGTCATAGTTGAAAATTGTTGACGTCATTCGACAAATTGTGGTTCCGCTGCTGTTCTTATACCCCCATTCCACCAGTCGACGCCCTACTGCGTTCTGCGCACTCTGAGGGAGCGCCATAGGTCTCTTCATTTTTCGCCTATCTCGGGGCACTTACGATCTGATAACGATCAGATAGTGCTCCTGTTGCGATCCAATAGCGATCTCTGCGATCCAATAGCGTCTTGAAGACCCAAAATGTGGCGATCTTGCACGATCAGTTCCCGCTCCTTTTGCGAGCATTGCGATTTTATGCGATCTAGGCGACCTATGGAGGTCCATTAGGACTTAATATGTGCTCTATGGCATCCTATTGCGACCCGATTGCCGAATTTTGGGTCTGATCCTATCAAAACTCGTAGCGTCCTGACGTGCTTATCAGTTCTACGCTTAGTAGCATAGGTGTAGGTCTTTCGTGGCGATCGGCGGCGCTCTGAGGTGATACAATAGCGCTCTGATTACGACCTTGGCGATTTAGTAGCGCTACGATGGCGATCTCGGCGATCAAGTAAGCGATCTGACGGCATTCCGGGCGGAGCGCAACGGATCTCACCAGGGAAGTCGACAGGTGGCGACGTTGACGATCATGGAGATCCATTAGAGATCAGCTCGCGATCCATTAACGCTTTTGGAGATCTTGGCGATCTATGGCGATTTGTAAGAGCGTCACAGAGCGCAGCTTAGTGGAATATGGGTATTATAAGTTAACAATAAAATTCGTCTCTGTATATATCTTCTTCGGTAATAAAAAGAACATTATATTCGTGTTCATTTCATATTATGTTTACGACAATCGTGCCAACAGTATCTCCCTCGCTCTCGGTCGTGAAATACCGGAAATTAAACACTCGTGTCGTAAACATAGTATGACAAGAACACTCGTATTATATCCTCTATATATTACCCATAAGGGTAGAATGATCATGTGTAATAACTTTACGATATTTGTATATGTGCATTTTAGCGATTCTAAATGTCAATTGAAGTCATATGACGTCACAGCAGTGTTTCATTGTTGAGTAAAATACCACATGACATCATCCGTTGTTCCTGGCGTCACACGTCCGTGGTCTAGTGAATGTATAGAGCGTCAGAGAGAGACATATTGTCATCTGAACAATTGGCTGCCTTCAGTGAAGTTTCTCGTAGGGTGGAATTTTAATACGTTTTTTCCTTCATTTTGTCTCTTAAAATGTCAGTGAGTAATATATAGAATAACCTACTCGAAAGTCGAAATTACGGATTGCCTGTCCCTTGTGAATGAATGCTGTGAGTCCCTCAACAAAGGCTTGAGATTAACACCAATCGTTCACTCATTGGCGATTCTGTTAGTGTATAATATTTAATTTCAAACAAAGGGTATTTACTCAAATATAATTTTACACAGACAATTCCAGTTGGTAAATGATCGGAATGAGATACAAGATAAGGTTTGAAGTAGAGGCAAATGCTATCACAACAATACAACGAAAGAAACTTTAAATATTATAATTAATTATCCTATATTAATACCGTAAAAGTAACATATTTATGTACACTGTTTCAAAAGGTATCTCTGGTATAAATGTAAACCAAATAGTATTCAAGACATTCAAATGGATCTCATAACGACATGTGATGAAAGTAGATCATCACATGTATAATATCCCATGGCCCTTTATTGCCTCTTGTCATCCCTCAGTAAGGAGAAATAACGTTCGATTTCCATATCTGACATGGTTAGTTTATTTTGTTGTAAAAAAAAAGAAAAAAAAAGAAGAAAACTTTATTTGTTGTTTACGTCGCACTCAGCAATTTGGTGGGTGTGGGGGTGGGGGTGGGGGTGGGGTGGGGGGCAGGACACCTAACTCTTCGCGAGCACCAGGTATCATCACTATTTATAGAGATTCATAAACACATGTTCATGATATGGTCGGAATCGTTCAATGGACTCTGCTTTTTCTTACGATTTATAGCAGGGCCTGGTAGCATTTATTTAACACCATGAAGAAAATTCACAACGAACATATCTGATAAGTCACCAGTAAATCTTTCTTTACATATAATCAAGCTGAAATGCGAAAACTATATCCACACATGTGTATAAGTTAAACTGTAATTACTTAACATGGACGCCATGATTCATTAGTCTGTACTCACTGTCTTGGCACAATCCAAACTTGATTATAGTGAGTAGAATAAGAAGTTTCATTTTCACAAAATCGTATTTCAGGTTTGATCACCCAACTGCACTTTAATATTCGACCAGGGTGTAGTATGAATATCCGTAAGCTAACTTTCTTTAGTGAGACACAGCTTTGTATGCATGTTCGCTTCAATGCCGATAATTTCAATGGTCTGCATATTGTGTAATACTGGCTGTGTATGGGAAACGCTCAACTACCTTTCATATTCAATCACGATTTGAGATCTACACCTAGGCCTAGATCGATTTTAAATTGCAACTGACATACACACAAAGAGAGTATCTGTCAATGTTACTCTTCATGTGACACACTGGAAATTTATATCTTGTGGGAAAAAATTGTTTATGTTTGGTGGCGTTACAATGAAAATAGCACTGAGGTGTGTGAGCTCTGTTAGTGGTATGATTTGTAGTGGGTGAGAGTGTGTGTGGTTGGTTGGAGGGTGGGGTGTGGGGTGTGGGTGGCGGTGGCGGTGGGGTTTGGGGGGGATTTCATGGGGTTAAGGTTGATGGTTAATGTGTGTTGGATCGGATTTGTAGTTTTGGGTACAACGTGTCTATGTCATTGTGGGGATTCTCAGACAGGGTTGGGAGTGAGTCACTTCAAAACCTGTCCCTTGTATAGCTGTAATGCATGTGTCCCCCAGTACTAGCTCCCACCTCGTATAGCTGTAGTGCATGTGTCACCCAGTACTAGTTCCCACATCGTATAACTGTAGTGCATGTGTCACCCAGTATTTGTTCCCACCTCGTATAGCTGTAGTGCATGTGTCACCCAGTACTAGTTCCCACATCGTATAACTGTAGTGCATGTGTCACCCAGTATTTGTTCCCACCTCGTATATCTGTAGTGCATGTGTCACCCAGTACTAGTTCCCACCTCGTACATCAGTAGTGCATGTGTCACCCAGTACTAGCTCCCACCTCGTATATCTGTAGTGCATGTGTCACCCAGTACTAGTTCCCACCTCGTATATCTGTAGTCTAGTGTCACCTAGTACTAGTTCCCACCTCGTATATCTGTAGTGCATGTGACACCCAGTACTAGCTCCCACCTCGTATATCTGTAGTACATGTGTCACCCAGTACTAGTTCCCACCTCGTACATCTGTAATGCATGTGTCACCCAGTACTAGTTCCCACCTCGTATATCTGTAATGCATGTGTCACCCAGTACTAGTTCCGACCTCGTATATCTGTAGTACATGTGTCACCCAGTACCAGTTCCCTCCTCGTATAGCTGTAGTACATGTGTCACCAAGTACTAGCTCCCTCCTCGTATAGCTGTAGTACATGTGTCACCAAGTACTAGCTCCCTCCTCGTATAGCTGTAGTGCATGTGTCACCAAGTACTAGCTCCCTCCTCGTATAGCTGTAGTGCATGTGTCACCAAGTACTAGCTCCCTCCTCGTATAGCTGTAGTACATGTGTCACCAAGTACTAGCTCCCTCCTCGTATAGCTGTAGTGCATGTGTCACCAAGTACTAGCTCCCTCCTCGTATAGCTGTAGTACATGTGTCACCAAGTACTAGCTCCCTCCTCGTATAGCTGTAGTGCATGTGACGCCTTGTTCTAGTTCCCACAGAGTTAGGCATAGCTGGATATATTGCATGCGGTTGAAGATAGTTTAACGTTTTGATTGGTGGTTGAGTGTGCTTTTCGCTTGTAGTTTGGGGCGGTCGGGTAGTCCAGTGGCTAAAGCGTTCCCTCGTAAAACCGAATACCCGGGTTCGATTTCCGACATGGGTACAATGTGTGAAGCCCATTTCTGGTGTCCCCCTCCGTGATATTGCTGGAATATTGCCAAACGCGGCGAAAAGCCATACTCACTCACTCGCTTGTAGTTTCTTGATTAGCTTGGATTTCATTGGTTACTAAACGATTACGTTTTTCAATCTTCATTGAACGGGTTCAAAACAGTACAGGTGTAACATTCTTGAAGAAACTTGACGTATCTGTTGAGCGTAATACTGACTTGCACGTGCATCCATGATTCTATGAATCAATTTCCTCATATTGTGAATATAAGATTTTATCACGCATGTGTCCGGTATTATTTTGTATATATATAGTAACAAAACCCTTTTTTCACATCACACTTTTTAGTCTGTCCAGCACGTGCAGCGAGTAATCTATTATCCCTCCACGAAGTGGGAGGGGATATAGAAATAGGTGCTGTCCGTCCGGCCGTCCGTCACGTTTCAATTCCGGAACATACCTCGGAAACATCTTAATATTTTATCATGAAACTTTGCATATGTATCAAACACATGCTGAACTGGTGCCTTGTAAAGTTTTGATGTTTGTGTATTTCCTTGTTTTACTTAGGGCGTAGTGTCTGCAAGAGGGACAAGCTTTCTCTGAAACTAATGAAGTTAGATGAACTTATGCAAGCTTATATAAGATATACTTATCAAGACTGAATTGGCGCCATAAATTGTGTTATCCCCTTCTGTGTGTATTAATTTCACATTTAGTCAGATTTTCGCATGACGTAAAGCAATCCTAGTGCCTTTCTCTTCTTTAGGCTTCAAAGGACCCTTTTTTTATAGTAAACATTGACTTCCTTATTATTCACTACTACATGAACATACCGCATTCTAATGTGGCCCATGGACCCGTGAAGATCCGGGGTAGAATAGGTCTTCAGCAACCCATGCTTGCCGTAAAAGGCGACTATGCTTGTCGTAAGAGGCAACTAACGGGATCGGGTTGTCAGGCTCGCTGACTTGGTTGATGCATGTCATCGTATCCCAATTGAATGGATCGATGCTCATGTTGTCAATCACTGGATTGTCTGGTCCAGACTCGATTATTTACAGACCGCCGTCATTTTAGTGGAATGTTGCTGAGTGCGGCGTTAAGCAACAAACAAACAAACAACAAACAAACCCCAACAGGTTTTTGACCATCACGACTGAGACATCACGCATACAGAGGCAGAGGTGAGCAGGTAGAGGACTGGGACAACCCCAAAAATAATCGGCCGCACCAAATTGTCCTCCTGACGTAAGGGCTGAAGGAAGCACTGGATCGCTCGGAGATGTATTTGACCTCACTGAGAGAGTGCTTGAACTGACGTTAGAAAGCTGAGGAGTTCCTGCCACTGGCAAAGAAGTAACGGTTGTAAGAGTGCCAATGGTAACTGGATGCAATCGTCTATGTAGGTCTCGAAAATGATGACTAACCATCGGGCCACAGAAAATCCATACCTGAGAACCATCCACTGATAGGACCCTCCAAGCACCTGATTAGTGAGAAAGAGAACGAGAGTGCCGGTATTTTCAGGTGATCAGATTGCCCGGGGTCAGGTAGCACGGAATTGCAGTGGTGCTTGACCTATTGTTAGGTGGTTACCATGGTGATGATCCATGAGTGGGATGTGTTGGGGTGAGAGTTTTGTTTCAGCTAGAAACTTTGTTCTAGGATTATTTCCACACATGAAGGATGAAATACATAATATGGGGTGGATACATTTATTACAATTTAATATTTGTGCATACACAAAAGTTCAGAATAATGCCTTGAATCATGATCGAACTGTTCTTGAATCAAAATAGTATTGGATGCCTGCAGGAGTCAAGTGTTTGCAGCTTTGTATTCAATTTGCATGTGGCAAATAGATAAGGCACATCGTCAAGACTCCAAGCGCCCTCTTGTTGATCTTGTAAGCCTCCTTGAACCTGTCCCATCACGAAACTTCTCGTAGGATCAAATCTGTCATGCTTGTAAACAACCAGGGGCGGTAACTCTAAATTCCATTTACTTGCTGACACCCGCCCCCTCGGCATTTTACTAGTGCTTCAATCATTTTCTGTCGCCGACAATCGCCACAAATATACTTACAACAATCCCTGCTGCCACATAACAGGGTGTAGGTGCTAATATGGTTGTAGCTCTGCTAGACACTGTTACTACACTGGAGGTTGGTTTTGGTGAAGAAGCAGATGGATTTTGTTCTGTAGAAGCTGATGTGGGAATTGTTGATGTAGTTGTTTCAGTTACCATTGTGGGTGTCTGTGTAGTAATTGCTGGTGTAGTGGTAGTTGTTGGTGTAGATATTGTAGTTGTTGGTGCAGTAGTGGTTGTTGTTGATGTAGTGGTGGTTGTTGGTGTAGTTGTTGGTGTAGTTGTGGTAGTTTTCAGTGTAGTTGTTAGTGTAGTGGTAGCTGTTGGCGTAGTTGTGGTAGAAGTTTGTGTAGTTGTGGGAGTTGATATAGTTGTTTCAGTTACCATTGTGGGTGTCTGTGTAGTAATTGCTTGTGTAGTGGTAGTTGTTGGTGTAGATGTGGTAGTTGTTGGTGTAGTGGTGGTAGTTGTTGATGTAGTGGTGATTGTTGGTGCAGTTGTGGTAGCTGTCAGTGTAGTTGTTGGTGTAGTGGTAGTTGTTGGCGTAGTTGTGGTAGAAGTTGGTGTAGTTGTGGTAGTTGATATAGTTGTGGTAGTTGTTGTAGTTGTGGTTGACGTAAAACTGCGACAAGTGGCACAACATCTTTTTATGTAGTCGGAACCGGAAGTGATGCAGCTGCTATATTCGCAAGGGTCAGTGTATGTATTGTCGCCATAAGGACAGTCTGCAACAGAAACAAGCTGTGATTAAACCTTCAATTATCTGGTAATTACAGAATGATGATAATGGTGACGAGCATGTTCGTCTTCTGATTATCATCACCGGAACCCCGTCTGTTCTCCTCTTAGTGAGTGAGTAAGTATGGTTTTAGGCCACTTTTAGCAATATTCCAACAATATCAGGGCGTGGGACACTAGAAATGGCTTAAAACATGTGGGGAATCGAACCTCGGTCGTCAGTGTGAAGAGCGAACGCTTTAACCACTAGGCTACCCGACCGCCCCTATTCTCTTCTTAAGCACCGTGTAACCTTTCAATGGACCATGGTTAATACGGAAGCAAACCCCAAAGAAATTTACCCTTTTAGTGAAACAAATGATCATTGGTAGGCAATGGATCTTAGTCAAGCGAATCTTTGACTCGATGAGCGAATCGATTCACAGTCAATTGATGCAACTCTGCATAACTCATACTGTCAACTATATGTGAGGTGAAATGGGGT